CATTTAAAGGAGGTTAAAAGATCAATATGGAATAAACAAAGTCAAGAAAGGAAAGATAAACTGGCTTTACGTAGTTAATGCTAATTGTTCTGTAATTCTTCTTGAAGTAAACATTAATAAAATTCAATTTACATCATAGACCGAACTTATTTATGCACCAAAGTATAGATGTGTTACAGTGTTAAATACTGTTTTACAGTAGAAATATCAATGTTAGGATAATTCTGTTAGACTATCCTTATTTAGTTAACTTCTAATTTGGATATACTGTGTTTTAATATGGCACTGAATTTTTATGACAGTGACACTTATACACATACTGAAATTAATAGTTATAATAGGGAATGCAAATCATCTACTTACAATTCGAATCATTGTGATTGTTATTTACTTATGGACTATTGAGGAGTAGTATATAAATGCAGTATATCGTGAAATAAAGAGAATTTCTCCAACTTAGTGTTTAACGTAAAATACGAGGCGTTTAAGTCTTTGTGCAGTTTGATAGTAGAGCAAAAGTGTTCGTGATAGTGCAGATATCTTTCCTTGATACTTGGTTCAAGGAATTGACTTATTGATCGTATATTGCGTTATCTTGTTGCAAAGCTGTTTTGTGACAAGATGTAAATTTAATCACTTTTTCGTATAGGTAATGGAGATAATACGTATTTTACGGCTACAGTAAATTATATTAATCTACCCTTACATATAAATTTTGCAAATTTGATAATCCTTTAAAATATCTTTCCTTGAGTTTTTCGATATTATTTCCACTTGTATCACTTTATAGATCAGTGTATGATTGTATAACATGTTCTTAGTGACATATACTACACATCTAAACTTATGAAATAGCGAGACCGATAATATTGACTCACATTTCTCTTATATTGGGAAATAGTTCAACAATGTCTAGATTTGCACCACATATTTCCACGATTTGATTACCGGAAATATTTCTGATTCATAAAAGTACGCGAATATACAATGATAGATCCATTATTGTTAATAATTCAATAGGTTTAACTTTAATTTTATAATCTTGCTATGGCAAAGAAACAGACTTAGTATGTTATTTAATATCTGCAGTAAAATCAATTTTAAATTACCCTACTAATGCACTTACAGCTTCTTCAGGTATACATATCGAATTAAAAGCATAGTATCCGAAAAACTTACAACATTTGTAGCTGTTTGAGGCTGCAAAATGTATTATTTTCTATCGCAACTAGTTTATTAGCAGAGGTGCGGCTATATTGTAGCAGATAAGATACGTCAAATTAAATCCGATATTAAAGACCTAATGAACTATGATATTATTTATTTACATTAACCATATGATCATAAAAGGATATCACATCTTACAAATTTGTAATAAAAAATATTGCAGAGCCTTTAAAAAATGACTAAAATAAAAGTAAACTCATTATTAATCTTGCTATGCTATGTAACGGATTCATTGTAATAACTGTCACATACTCAATTGTTACCACACATTACTAGCAGAGCAATACAACCTTTTTATTGAAATTTTTAAAGAAATTCTTATAGCTTACTTACAATTCCATCAGATTTATTAAGTTGCTAATATGGTGGCATTTTAACTGGTACACTTGGTTACCTACAAGAGAACTATAGTGCTCATAGTTAATATTCAGATTAATTTTTCAAGTTACGTTCATGATCTGATGGCAAATATCGGAAATAAAGCTGGTAAATTAGCTAACTATTAATATATGAAGAAAAGCTAAGCTGATCAAAATTTAGAAGCTTAAATACAGGTGATAATCATCATCTCGAAAGCCCCTATTAGAAGTTCGCAGCTTACACTAGGCCTAAGAATGACGATATTTCTAATATCGTCTTCTTAGCTCTTTGAAATGAAAGCTAACTGATTGATACAGCCATGAAAATAACTGAGATATAGATTGATAGTTTATGGTAACATTTCGCTATGAACTTCTCAAAAATAAAATGCACAACTTTAGGAATTATTGTAGTTGGTGATAAAGTAAATCCTTACGATATCATGACGAAATAGTGAATGTTTCAAGTAGGTATTAGAAATATAGAATTTGATATAGCTCATAATCGAAACAAACTTATGCATAAAATATCTTATTACTTCAAATGTTCGTATATGATAATTAGTCATAATAACAATATTTTTATTAAAAATATGCTGATAGTGTAATAAATATGTTTACTACGACTGATAGTATATATAAATGGGATAGTAATCAATAAAAAGTGAAAAGAATTTCGTAATATTGTGTTATGCGATAGTGTGTGTACTTCCCAAAGATTTAAGTTACTGTACCGTATGCTGGGAAAATAGTATTACAGATTAAAGGAAAATTTACTAGAAGTACCAGTATTATTTCTTGTGTCGCAAGAGTAGTTGTGGCACTGATATAATTAGGCAATACATTCGAAATTTTAGTATACTAAGTTATAAACTGATTATTTGTACAAAAGGTAAACATGCTGAAAATAATATATCATAGCGAAAAAAAGCGTGTTGCACATTAATAAATAGTAAAATTAGTTTCAGATACTGTAAAGCAGAGTAGGTGAGAAATTTGGATAGCCATAAAAATATGGATTCTGTATAATGCAAGTCTCTCTTGAATTTGATCTGGCGCTTTATGTTTAAGTTTTATTATGATTTTACCTCTACGATTGCAATAAGCAAAAAAATATGAAAGTATCTCGGATGGGACTTAATTTTATTTTATCTTGATTTACTAAGTACGTTGTTGTATAGTGATTAAAAATTAATTTCTAATATTACTTATGCCAAGCTGCGGATGAGGATTACATTACGTCATTCACGTACATGTACCGGTATGAAATTGGCTTCAATCTATTTAATATGGTTTTACTTACTCGTTAGGTAACTTACGAAACCCATAGCAATATTATAGTGTTTTACTAGTACTATCTAGATTTGGTAGAGCGAAACTAAGATTAGTTCTCATGACTGTATGATAAGAAATTATTAATACTCAGCAGCTTTTTTATTAGTATAGGTTGTATTGAAATTCTAATGGAACATCAATCAGCTCTATAGATATTCTCCAAAAAAAGGAATTTACTTACAGGCTGATACGACTGCTCAATGTGGCAAATGAACCATTTTTAATAGTATGAATTCTATTACCAGCCAGGTCTCTAATTAATGAAATTAGGTCTCTGAGATAAATATTAAGACTATTTACGTTTACTTCTGTAAATATTATTAAATATTGTTAGCTGACAGGCTATATAATTATAGACAGACATAGCAATGAACACATTCCAACTTACATTCCTATTTGATAATTTCAATTTATGAAATGAGTTTAATAGACGTAGTAACGATCAATGATCATTAACTACTCCTTCAATTAAAGTATAAGTATTCATCTTAAGACTTACAATGCTTGCAGGTTGTTAAGGTTGTTGAAGAAGCTAGGCTGTATGGTTGAAATATTATTGTCCGAAAGAAGTCTATGGAAAAATAAACGAGTATAATGATAACGTTATTGTTATAGATTGTGACGGAGTACAGACTTCGTAAATTAATTGTAACGTTAGTTTTAGTAATTAGTAATTAAGATTTTATTAATTGTTAAGAACCTTTATTTAGTCCTATTAAATTTACTGTAGCAGTATCAAGATAATCCTTGCTTATTAATAGCTTAAAAAATACAAATAAAGCTATCTCACTAAGACATTTCCTCTAAATTTAGGAATTGTACTTTGGAGCTTAACAACTTTGGAGGTAATAGATGCAATCTAGTTAAGCTGGTTGGCAATTACTATTTTAGTCTATCTAATCCTAAATTAAGGATTTCAACTGTTAATTACTAAAATTACAATTAAGGAGAGCGAAACTTATTTCTGAGATATAAACATGTATAGAACGTAAGATAGAAAATAAAATATACGATACGAAGATTACTTTTGTGGCACCCTTACGTAATTGAATCTGAAGACTAACTCGAAATATCGCATATACTAAAATCTTAGTCATGTTATACTATCGTATCCATTAAAACAAGCCATAATCAAATGCAAAGATCCAATAATTATTGGATACAAAAAGCCATTTTTGTTTTATCCTGCATGAGTTTTGTGATGGAAGGTTCGAAGAGTCTGCAGACGTGGACTCCTTACGCATTTCACAATAATGATACTAAGGGTTATTCGAAAATGAGATATTTATTGTAGATAACAACTACGTACAGTGTGGTAGTTACTAGTAGATCAGCGTGTAAGCTGTTGTGAAGTAACGTGTATAGATAATAACACTAACAAGTGCAACTGAACAAATCTGAGGCAGAAATCATCAGTATTAATAGTTTTACAGGGAGAACATATGCAGAGAATAGGATTGTAGAATTAGATACATCATATACCATAAACAGGCTATATAATAGTAAATTATTGCAGGAAATAGCGAAGGCTGTAGATACTATAAATAACTAAACATGACCAGCCATATTTGAGCATAGTTGAAATAGACTGTAAAGGTATCTATATTCGGAACATAACAAAATGTCTATATTTAAGAACATGTCTAAAGACTACTGTGAAAAATAAATATACTACAAATATGATATTAAAATGTAAATGTACGCTGAGTATTAGAGCATTCTTTATCGGCGTTAGATTTTTCGTGATGATGATCCAGATCGTCCATATTTTTCTCCAGCTTTATTTGCTTACGTCTTTTTGTTGTCCTCTTTTTCCTAATTGTGTAGGTTGCACCAGTCGCTGGACGAATAAATAATCCTTTGATTACGGCCGCACTTGTTAAGGTATACAAGTATGGATTAAGAGCAGAATTTATAGGTAATGCAAATATACCAATAAATTGTAGTGTGATAACGTCAACACCATCACTAGATGCGAAACCAGCAAAATTCACGATATAATAAGGTACCCAACTAATTAAATCAGTTATTAATATGATAAATAGACGCAATGCAATCATTTTATCTTTTCTAGCTTTTGCTTTTCGATTAGTTGCTTGTGTAACAGCTTTACCAGTATCGCGAATGTAGATAAACAATCTAATATAAAGTGAGCATGTAATAATCCAAGCAATAATTGTAGAAACGATATAGGCTATCATCCAGACTCTGTAGTCAGGGTTCTCATAATTGCTTGGCATACACATACTGTTAAAGGTGTATAATCGTTTGTTACCAGGCTGATTGATACTAAATAATGACGGTATGAGTGCAAATGTAAATCCTCCTAGCCATATTATACCAATAATCAGCCGAGAATAGAAACGGCTTAACTTTTTTCCTTCGAGCCCATAAACGATTGTGATGAACCGATCGATGCTGATTACTACCATTAAAAATACAGACACTATGCTAGATGTAGTCATAAGAGTACAAGATACTGCACAGAGGGGATGTCGTAGCCACTTCTCAGATCGTATGCCATAAAGGCCTTGATTGCTATAAACCAAATTAGCAAATCCTATGATAAATAAATAGATTGACATGATAAAATCTGATATGGCTAAATTATTGATTAAGAATAGGTTGACTTTGTCGGCTTTATTTTTTTTTTTAGCCCGAATAATGCGGAGGTTGCGTACAATAACGAAAATGTTACCCAAAAAAGCCAGAATGCCAACAAGCCAGATGAAGAATTGTAATGAAATATGAGCAAGAAGATGCTGACAAGATGATAAAGTATCAGATATCATCGATGGTTTACAGGATAGTATTTTAGCAGGTATGATGCAACAAAAGTAAGGACGATTGGTTAATCTGTTAAGATATTGAAAAGTAAAACAAACAGCTTGCTTAACCTCTGAAGTTTAAGCAAATACACCAATTGAAAGTAAGATAGTTGGTTGAATATTGTTACTTTTACTTACATTTCCACTAACTTAGATGGACCATAAAATGACTCCCGAGATACTTCGCCTAACCAATTCTTTCGTAAATCTCTAATTTTTATAGATTTTAAACATAAATTAAAATTAAAATAAATGGAAAATATCATAAAAAAAATGTAGAAATATTTTCACAATATGTATACCAACTGCTTTCTAACTCATGTCAATAAAACCTTATATTAAAATCAAATGAGTATTTATGTTTATTACAAAATACTGTGCGCTATGGTAATCATTCAACTATATCTACGCTGAATCGTTATAAATATTATTTTAACATAGAATGCAAGTAGCTTAAGATAAAATGGCCTGGCTAATCTTCGCTAGCATGTATAATGAATTCCTATCATAATTTAGAATTTAGTTTTCTCTTTGTGTAAATGTTTTTATCGAAACGTAATAACGTAATCAATTTGGAATAAAAGCTTTGGCGATGGTAGGATAAGCTCCAAGCTTAACCTTTCTGTTTTTGAGACTCATTTTGTGACGGTATCGCTATCTATCTAATACCAATAACTGTATAGAAGGTTCACACTACTCCCATTTGGTATAAGATATAGCGAATTGTACACACATTCATTTAATGTTTGAGTAAAACCAACTGCTCTTACTCTCCGTATTATTTGAATAATGATCGTGTAAGTGCCTGTACTATTCATAATTGCGGCGTATAATAGTTGTAAGATTGTAGAATAGCGAAAAAATCAGTGAACGTAGTACTTTTCATAATTTTCACTCATAATTTAAGAAGTATGATTGAACTTGTATGAAATTTTGTGTATACTTACGTGATATAATTTTATTACCAGCATAAATTGTTTGCTACATGATTGTGTAAGTAGTAATTTCTAGTACTTGAGCGTTTGTAGAGTACTAAATTCAGTGCATATCGAAGTAAAGGAAAATCACACGACGGTATTAAATGTACAGTAGATGCGCGCTAAAACTGACGAATATATGAATATACATTCAAGAATCATGTGCTGTTGAGTCTAGTTACTACAGTATGTTATACGATAATTAACTAATCAAAATATCTGAATTTATTTGCGTCTTAATATTATAACGTAAATTCGACAGTCCATTCACAAATGCAATAAATGTTAAAGCTTCTTTTCGTAATCATAATAATTATTTTATGGTATCATTTGAGCAGCGTCAGTAGCAAAATTAGATTTTAAATTTTCTTTTCCCGTACTTACAATTTTTGCAAGCTTGATAACCCTCTAAAGCATCTTTCTTGGAGCGTGCTGATCTTATTTCTACTTGCATCGCTTTGTTGTTGATACATGATTGCATAAGTTAGTATTGGCAATATTCATTTAAAAAACAAATTGTAAACCAGTAATATTAAGTTCGTTACAAAAAGACTCACATTTCCCTTACATTCGGAAATAGTTTCGCAATGGCTTGATAGCATAATTCTTCAATTATATTACCGGAGATGTTACTAACGCATGCAAGTATAAATAATGATGGATTTATCGTCGTTAGTAAACCCTTACCAACATATTACAGTTATATTTTTTCAAAGAAATGAGTCTATTGCAGTGTTCCAGATTTTAAGAATTAAAATCATATCCTAAGTATCCTACATTTTCATACGATTTTACTGCACGTGTACTTACAGCTTCTTCAAATTTCCATATCGAATGGATAATGAAGAATAGATCTTCTCTAATTTATTATTTGAGAGACTTCTATAATAAATATCACAATATTGAAAATGGATAAGAAACTATAGGTATATTAGCGTTACAATCAGAATTTTAATCTGTAATTTGCATGCTTCGCGACACAGAAATTATATACGGTAAAGAGTAAGGCGGATATCTTCCTTCCTTGGTGAATGTTGTATTTATTCTATGATGCGTTATATCTTTGGTATTAAACCAATATTATTGGATTTGAGCTAATATCTCGTTTGCATCTTTTCACAATTATGGTATCGTATTGCAGCCATATATAGATGATTTAACATAAAACCGTAACATCAGTGATTATTATAACCCCATAAAGTTGCTATAAAATATTAAACCTAAACATTTCCGTCATGGCAAGGATCCTCTATATGTATTAAAATACTTGAAATATTTTGCATTAATTAATAAAGACTTTAAATTTAATGATCTTACAAATCCGTTAATATGTTTTCATCCTTGTTAGAGATGTCGACCATATCAAATTCACATATGCTGTTGCCGTCCAATGATCTGTCATTAATTAAAGGCTTAAATTAAATGAATATAAAAGTTCGTAATGTATTTTAGGTTTACAGTCACAATTCTAACTTGAAAGCTGCAGTATTAAAATAATAAACTTACAAAATTCTAAGGGAGTCAAATGCAAACGCTTTTTGGGGAATGGATGAAATATTGCAATTATTTAAATGGCTATAAAGGACGATAAAATAAGAATAAAAGGTGATCAGTAATTTTCGATGAGAATTCTGTGATTATTAGTCGCAACTGTAATCCTACTGTAATATTCAGACAGCTTAATATCTATTTTAAGGCACATCTAGCAGAATTCTATTACTGTAGGTGCTTAACAAAAATCTTTATAAATCTTGTTGAATACAAATTTATTTTCATTTTAAAATTATGCTAGAATAAAATAGGTAACTGTTACGGAGCTTGATGCCCCTTGCGTATAACTAGTAGTCAATTTACGATAGTAGAATAACTGTATTGATATACTGTCGTGTGATTAATAATATTATTAGAGATTGTCGTGTTGTAGACAACAGTCCTTAACTGTTGATTATTATTATTGTTATTTAATTAATCATTAATTAATTATGCCGAAGTAGGCAATAGAACTAATGGTGCGATTGCACCATAAATGTGTGATAAATAATTGAACTTGCTAATTAATATTAATTAGTGACAAGTATTAATTAAAACTCGGTCTAGTCTATAGTAAGCCTGTATCACACATTATATAATTTAACGTGAAAGATTAGCACTGGGGTTATTTGTGTGACGTATGAAATTGTATATAAGCTTGATTCTTAATTTTGAATCTCAATTCCACTAAGGCTAACATAGAGTACACTGATACTAACGTAAAAGGGCTAGTAATAAATATATTTATTAACCTAAACCTATCGTTTGACTCGATTAGTATAGTATAGGAATGAGATAGTTTTCCCTTACTGAGGATCTCGGGAGTTGGTCGGAGAATCATAAGAGTAGATAGACTAGTTTAGGTACGATCACGAAAGTTGTCTTGTGACAGTAAGAAACAGTCTTCTAATCAAAGGGTAAAAGCTCAAGCATAATTTTGCAAACAGAGCTTCCGGTGACTTCAATCTAGTTAAGAGAATTATCATTTAACGTACATTAAAATCTCTTAGTAGTATTACGTTACTGTCAATATTGTAAAGCATAAATCGTACGATCTTATCAACAAATGTGTACTTTTGAGTGGCGATACATGTTAATATAAGGCACTAATGTACTTAGAAAGTCTCTACATATAAGTTTTTATTTAGCCTATTATTAGAAAATTTAGTAGAATTAATGATATTTATGAAATCTAAATTAGGAATAGTAATAACAAAAATAAGATGTTCTTGTAAAAAATTTTTTTTAATGCCCTGCAGTTTATAGCCTTTAGCGTAACAATGAATAGTTTAAGAAAAGTAATTTTTATTTCTGACTTATACTTACTCTTAGTTCAACTACTTACATCCCTACTAGGAATGGTCCAACAAGGTCAGATAAATCTTTCATGAGGGTGTCTAATGTTATTGGATTTTCACTAACATCTCTATACATTCAAGAAAGTATGGAAAAATCAAGAGCGCTTTTCAAAGACAGTACATCTTTGTAGATAAATATAGATGATAGAGAATTTATAAGTGAAACTGACCAAATCTTCTATTTTAAATAAATAATATTATAACGCCTATATTACATGTTTTAAACTATTACAAATATTAGTGTTCGTAGGTTCAAAAGCATATTGACGTACAATTTCAGGTTAGTTATAGCTGCCATTTCTTTAATATCTGCATTCCATTCATTTCCTGCTAATTTCCTATTAAATAATCATTCAGGCAATTGTAAATTAATTTTCTGTGAATGCTCTTACTCCAGCCGCGATTATAATATTTGCAAAGGGTTTACTGTTTAATAATAGAATAGACAAGTTTAAAATCTAATTATTATCGTGATATTGTGTTATAGCTTACAAGTCATTTATTAAGTTCAATTTGTCTAGAAAATCTTTCTTCATATCTATTCCGTTCGCTATCAGTCTCGTGTAGCTCATGTCACTAGTCAGCAAATGCAAAATAGCTAATTAGTTCCGAAGGTATATTAAATAAAGATTTAAGTGACTTGAATCACAAATTTCAATCAGCAACTTACATTTTTTTAATTTGGAAGAATAAGCCATCACAGTCAGGATCAAACCTCTTGATATTATTATGCGCTAGTATTCTAAAAGATATGAACAGATATACTGATTAATCTATTTTATACCTATTGATTCTAAATTCTTAAAAGTAAATATTTTTAAATAGTTACTAGATGTGGTATTATGCCAAGGAAATATTCGAATGAATGTGCTACTTACAAAGATCTAAGTACTGGAGGTAATCCTGAGCAAGTTAGATTTGAAATTTTATTTTTTGCCAAATCTCTATCATTAAAATAGACATAAAGAATTAAGAAGAAATTTCTTATGAATGGAACGGTGATGTTATGGCATTAAACAGTATATCATGCTATATTTCAAGATTTTTATTGAAAGTATCAACAATTTATAATAAATATTTATAGTTGGTTTATTGTTATATTAAAATCACGAGTATAAATAGTTAGATAAATATATCAATTATTAACGATAAGATAAAGCTCTAATTATCGACTCTTTCAAGACTATTCTTTCTTAGAATGCTAAATTCATCGCTTTCAGCCATAATGTTACCGTTACCGCTAGTATTTGATACAGTGCAACAAGCCATATTTCATAAATCATTTTTGCAGATGTTTAAATTTATTGAGTTAATTACATTTGAGAATATTTTTGCAAGAATTGCAGTCTGCTAATTAGGTTATTAAAGATTCTATGGATACATATCTTATACTTACAGTTTTTCAAGAAACGTCAATCCCAAATCATCTTGGACAGACAGTTTTATTTCATTATCGCTTAGATCACTATAGAAGGAAATGCAATCTAGCTAAGTATCTAAGTGATAAATTATACTATCGATGTACGAAACAATCGCTGTACTGCTTACAGAATTCTTAAATTTCGGTATCTTGAAAACGGTTTATTTTGCAATGATTCGATTCCATTATTACTCAAATACCTGAAGTTAAATTATTTAAGTTAATATAATAAGATTTTATCACCAAAATTTTCATAAGGTTTCTTACAATTGGCTGAGGTAGGGCAATGTGATGTTAAAAATTTCTGTAATTTTTTCAATACGATTGGCATTTAAGTTTCTTGGGTGATAAAAATACCAAGAATCAGGAATAATTTACGTTAGAATAAGCCTTCCAAGAAGTAAAATCGAAAATTTTTAATTTAGCGAAAAAGATAAAATTGAGTGTAGAGAGCTATGAATTGGGTAATAAGCTCATCTTACAATATTCGTAGATTTTGTAATCCTTTTAAAATAGGGTTAACGTTCGATATTTGATTATTTTGTAGATATCTATTTTGTATATTCAACATAAGCGTATTATGAATACTTATATTAAGCAATGAAGAACATTTCGCTGTTAATAATACGTGTATGTCTTACAAGAAAGTTAATTTCGTATTCATAAAATAATTTTCACTAAGAGTGCTTATCAAGTTATCATCTAGGTATCTTTAGTAAAGAATTAATAATAATTGTTAGAAGCATGAAATCCATGTAAAAATCTTTATTATAAACCTGAAACTAGGCTAGCAAGTGAGATAGTTGCGTGTTTGCATAGCGTATTTTACTAATTATTGGTTGAAATCGAACTCAATTCATGACACTAATATTTAACTGCAATCATCTAAAATCTTGTTCTGCCAATCATTTACTTACAATTCTTCGAGACTTCTTAAGTTCTTAAAGTCGTTAGAATTTACTCTGTGAATGCGATTAGATGCTAAAGATCTAGATATTAGAAGAAACAATCGTGCATACTCTTATGGAGCAGTAAAATCATTGGTACATTATTTTATGACCTTTATCGACGCTAAAATCAAGTTGCAGACAGCCTGATTTCAATATTACTCTTTAAATCTGTTCTGTATGAATTATAGTTAAGAATAGATAATACTCTAGGTAATAGAAAATTGTTTATCTACTTTGCTATGTGCTTTATAATACTAGCTTGTAGCAATGTTCTAATTCAAATCTTAAAGAATGTATGCTGCTATAGAGACAGGTAAAGTGCAAGTGAGTCTTATTAATAATAATTACAATTCACGAAAGTAATAAGCATATTGCACTCTCATTTTTAGCTTCGCTTGTACTCATGTGCAAATAAAGATCTGAAGCTATTTTTGAATTAATTATCTTCAGGTAAATCTTAGCAAAGCTACAACTCCACATATACGCTTGCTAATACGTACGAGATATTTAATAAAAAGATCTCTGTTTAATCTTGCCATACTTACAGTATAACAAGTTGGGATAGCTTTCCTATAAAATCTAGCTTCTGTAATTTGTTATTTTGCAGAATTCTACACAATAAAAATATAACAAGTTATTTGGGACTTTCGAAGCGCAGCCCAGTTGCTATATCAATATTTCGTTGTCAAATCTATAATCAATTAAATAGTTACTCCGACTCAAGTATTTCTATCGCAAGCACTTTATTAATTCATATTTGCGAGATAAAATAAAGGACGTACTGTATATTAAACTTACAACGACTGTAACTCTGAGAGCGGTTCTAGTGCCTTCGTATCAATATTAGACAGCATATTGGAAGAGATGTTTCTATGGAATATAAATAGCGATTAGTAAGTATGAAAATTAATAAAGACATTTTTGAAATTTCTTATTAAAATAGAGTTTAAATTAGATCACATTCAAGCATTAGGTAAGTTTTTTTTAGCGAACTCATCAGATGGAAATACTTACAATGATTGCAGATTACTGTAGTTAGACATAATAAAAGAATCTTTAACACTTTTGATGTTACTATAACGATTGCTTGTTAGATCACTGGTAGGAAATAAAGCATCGAAATTGTTTAGAAAAATAAAGAGAGATGATAAGGTTAAAGTTGAATTGAACTAATTATATTTGTACGAGTTAAATATATTAATTTCAGGAGAATTCATAAATTTACACTTACAGGTGGGCTAAATTCAAAAGTGTAGAAAAATTGAGCGGTTTTGATTCATGGAATTTATTGTAAGATAGATTACTATTTCATACCAAGTTTACAGAAGATTATATGATATTGATATTTGATATTCATATTGATATGATGTTGATATAGTTGGCACATAAATGATAAAAAATTGATCAGACTTACGATATTGACTATAAACTTGATAATTCACAATCACTTGAATAGCAATTGAAATCTAGAGCACATGGACTTACAGGGTTCTGCAATCTGCAAAGTCTAAATATCGTATTTCTGATATGTAGTTATTCGTCAAATCTCTGTTAGAAAAAACAGTAACTTAAAACTTCGAAATCAGCAGATAGCAGATTATTCAGAAATATTGGAGTATTATAGAATTTTATATAGCCCTAAAAATTTAAGTTTTAATTATAGTAGGTACTTATTGTCTTATCCTTGCCACAGGTATTACGTATAAATTGAGATGTGATATAGATGAACTGACTATTATACTACTGATATTTATTTGCTGATTTAATTGATATTTGATATTGGAGCTTTGACTGCCTCCATATTATACTCAGAATATATTTAAGACTTACAAAGTCTTTATGACCGGAGAATTTCTACTTCTTTCTACTGATCCATTGTGTACGTTCAGTCTTAGCGGATATGATCTTGATAGTCCCCTTAGTAGATAAAAACAATCTTAATAATAGCCATAGGACTTAAGATTGAAATCTATAGAGCATTACTATATTACTTAGCGTAAGAAAATTATGCAATATACAAGTTTGATAAGATTTAATTATAGAAAACAATTGCAGCATACAAAAATTCCATTGATGCAACATTAGGTAATTGAAATTCTGGAAAATTTCTGATGGGATTGCCACTAAGTTGCCTAATAAGTTTACATTATTAATAAATTACATTGCTTGATAGTTATACGTTTATCCATAGCTCGAGCCCTTATCCAAAATAATACTGCATGTAAAAATATCAATAGATTTCATTTGAACAGTTCTTAAATGGAATCTAGCTCGGGCACTTATTTTAAAAAGGTATAAAAGGCTATTGCACTCACAGTAATTGTAGTTTATTTAGGCCTGTAAATGTATTTTCGTCAATATGCGATATTGCATTTGTTTGCAAACGTCTAAAGGTGTAAATGTATGAAAAATTAGCATATACCAATAGCATTAATACTATTTGGAACATCTTGTAGTTAGTTATAGAATGTTGGCAGTATGCAAGGAGTATAAAAAATTAAAAATTTAAACTATAAAATTTAGATTATTGCTGTTCTTTGATCTAGAGTTAAAGTAGTTGCAAGAATTTATGTAAGATTTTATCCCTTTCGATCTGTAAGCGGTATAGTGTTATATATACATATGTCAAAAATTTTAATTCTGCACAGCTTGCAATTAAATTGCGAGTTATTATACGAATGATCACTAAATAATAGCACTAGCTTGAAAGTTTAAGCTTAGTATTGATTAAATTGCTGTGGGATTACTTAAATTTGTAGAGTAACGACCAAACATTGATAAATTCTAGATTCTGCCGACCGCAACAGCTCTCATAGAGTTTAATTTAGTCTCTAAGTAAATTTAGCTAATAATTATGCATTGCAGCAAATAAAAATTTTGTTTAAAAACGTTAATACGCTGTTATATCGGTATTGCTGATGTCAAATTAAGATAGAACTGGCGTGAACACTTTGTCGTATTTAACGTTACAACGTATATTAGAATGTAGAATGTATTATAATCTTTTGATAAAGTTATGACTCATGCTTACAAAGCTTTTAGATTTATTAAATGCTTAAATTGACCGGCATTTAACCGCGGAATTTCGTTTTCGTTTAAATTTCTAGATAGTTGTGAGCCAATTGAAACAATTTTTTTAGAATCTAAGAAAGATTTATCCGTAAATCACTACTAATTTATACTTACAAGTCTTGAAGATTGACTAACGGCGAAAAAATTGTAGAGCTGAACCTTTTCAATTTATTGTCTGTTAAATCTCTAATTATGACAGTATAAGAAATAATTCAGTCAGTAGATCAACACTTACAGGCTATTTAGCTATTCTTAATTATAGTTGTTGAAATGAATCCAGGAAAAATATATCATTCCGTTTATTGGATGTGCTAAATGATATAGCTATGAAATCGATATTTACTGTATTATTGTATTATTTATCACGTTGGTGAAGCATTTATCACTGTCTACTCAATTATAATGATTAAAGAAATTCCTGCATATGATACGAACTAAAAATTTTCAATTATAAGTAAACTAGTTTAGACAGTTTTAAACTGCAGTAAGTGTAAGGAGTACTTACAAAGTAGTTAGATTGTAGAGATCTTCGAATGCAGTATCATTGATGGAAGAGATGCTATTGAAAGCTAGTCGTCTAAGGATGAAGAATTCGATTTACACGTCTTAACATATTAATTATACGCTAGCTTTACTATACGCTAGAAGATTTTAGGTATAGTAAATTCTATTTGCTGATTTACTACCGTAAAATAAATGAATCAGTATTGTTAGCATTTACTTTAAACGCCCTAATTAATATATAATTAGCATGATTACAGGTGTCTAAGGCTTATAAGTCCTGAAAACTGATAGGCATCCAATGAATTCAATCGAACATTGATAATGGTCCTATTTAATATTAAAGAAAGGGATAAATTCTTATTTTCTATGAAGTAATTTTAATATATTTATTAATACTTATTACTAGGTTAGAGCATCGAAAGATGATAGATATATGATTAAGCTATCTTTTACTATCGACGAACATATTTTATGAGCAGATTTCTTATCAGGCATTAAATTTTTTAGTTAACTATTTTAACATGACATTAAAGCATCCTGCTGCTAGCTGAGAATACAGTTAGTATGTGATTTTAGTAATATGAAACTTACAGCGTCAAAGTCACTTTCATTGATTTAAATAATTTAGTAGGAAGATTGGATATGTTGTTGTTATTCATAACTCTTGTTAAAAAATTTTTGGTATAAAATTTAAATGAATAGATAAATAAGCTAACAAGATCGCTTGCCAAGTTTTATCTTTGAGTTAGCAATATTATATTGCCTAAAGTACCTCAGGTAATTAATGAACGCACTAATTCACATTGAAAAATCTTGCACAATTAATTGTTAAATATTAACTTAAGTCTACAGCAACAATTATTTTGAATGTTGTCACCATACGTACAATATTTCAATGGATGTCAAATTCTGGAAAGTTGTTGGCGCAACGGAATCGATATTGTTGCTATTTAAGTACCTATGTAGTTCCGGTAAGAAATTGTGAAATGCTATTTATTACATTTAAGGTATTATTTAATGCTTAATTATAACTTATGATCATTCGATTTTCTTACACTCTCAATAAACTTGGAGCACACAGGGTTTGAGGGTGAACATGTGATAAGTTGTTGCGATCTAATCTCCTAGTTGTTAAAATTATTACGATATTATAACCACTTTTCAACTTATTTAGGATTGCTAAAGTCGGCTAATTATAAAAAGATAAGTAAATTTCATGCCATTATATCTTGATCATGTTGTAATTAATGGCCTTACTATAGCTAGAAAGATTTTAATAAGTAATCATTTATGATTACTGTCAGAGCTGTAACTGGCATTTAGTGTTACTAGGCGGTAATTATTAATTAGATTGGCAAATAACTACTATAAGGTTTAGCATTGTGGCTACAGCTATGTTTGTTGCGCTAATTACAAAGAAAAATAAACTAAAACTTTCTACGGAGGTTCCAAATGTATGTAACATATATGGCCTTAGATTAATATTTCTTGATATTAAAGCTATATAAGTATAGCGGTTTTTATATTATAACGAATTGTCGAAAATTAGTATTATTCTTCGATAAATAAACTTAGAGGAACATCGACAGAAATGTTTCTCTTTACTTCGTTACTATTTAAATTATTAATTTGACCCTATTGTTCGATGCGATATCTGTAGGACTTACAAAGTTTCCAAGTGTCTAAAATCACAAAATGTACCATCTTCAATTGAAACCAGTTTATTTAGAGAAGCCCGACTACAAGAATTGAGAGAAGATGACTTAAATTGAATTTAGTAATTACATACAATGAAGCTACAGAAAGACTTTTCATTAACTAGCAGAGGATATTACGAATATGCTAATGCTAAATTTTACATATTACGGAAGACGAAACTATTTAAAATGACTGCTATGACGCAATTTATTTCATGTTACGCGATTATTTCAATTTTTTATATATTTAAAGTGGTAGAAAATTTGCTACTGCGATACATAGCAAAGTTTTTGATCTACTTACAACTCTTGAAGGTTAGTTAAGCCGTTAACATGATCACGTTGTATGTGCGTCAGATCATTACCTGAGAGGGAGCTAATAAAAACAAGAGAAATAATAATAATTATGTGTTTGGCGATACTCAAGTTTAGCATAACTATAATAAGTACTTCAGAATATAGTATTTTAATAAATAAATGCTTTAGCAAACAATGAAAAGAAAAATTACCGTACATTAATACTATATTTAAAATTCTAAAAGACCTCCCCAAATTTTCATACATCATTTTTAAATCATTTACTCACAGAAACACGAGATTCTTTAATTTAGTAAAGGAACCATTTTCAATTATTCTAATTTTGTTATCTGCTAGTTCTCTAATTTAGAAATTTTATTATTACGATAAAAAGCTATATAATATTAAATATTGTAGAACAATATCAATTAATTATTATTGAAATGCTTATACATAGCCAAGGCAAACCAAAAAACTAGTACCGTAATTTATAATTAATATGATAAAATTATGAGCTAAAGTCAATGCAGAAATTAAGGTAGAGAACTAATTATTTCCAGTTTATGGATTTAAATATTTTAATTCACCACATACAGCAGATAGAGGTTATCAAGATTGACAAAATAGCTTGGTTTTATGATCGAAAGACTATTATCGGTAAGGAATCTATTAGAAAATAACAATTTTTTGTCATTTACATTAAAGCAGATATTGCACATTCGTTACTGTTCACCAGGGTGAATGCCTTGGTAATTTGTAACGTTGTAGGATATATAATATCTAACATTTTTATTATCTTCGCAATAGTTATCAGTCTTATCTACTGTAAATGATCGTTATCTTGCAAGAATTGTAGCAGATAGCTAAGAATTTATTTAACTAATAAAACGTCTAGCATTAATCTCCATGACTGCTAGTATTTGAATTTATAGAAGCTAACATTGTTAGAGACAAATTTAAGTTATGAAACCATCATAAAGTGTTATATCGTATTTTACACTTAATAGGCATACAATTTGGCCAATTTATTGGTGGGCTTGAAAGTGTCCTCATCGATGTTAGTAATTTGATTTGATATAACGGATCTGACAATAAATATAATTGAAATATAGAATAATGTCTAATTATAATGTAATTTTTTAATAATCAACGGTTAAAGTGCTGTTACATAGCTAGCGATGGTAATAACTACAAGACTAGCAACGAATTGGAGTTACATCTGAATGAATTAGATATCGTATCGTAAAAAGATTTGATTACCAACACGTAAAGATTCAGTAATATATCTAAGAAAGCATTTAATTTGGTACATACAATAATGTTCTTTGCACAACTGATTAGTGCAGTCATAAGAAAATAATGTTGTTAAATACATTGCAATACATTACTTTAACGTTGAAAAATCTTATCGTCTCGATATTGTGAATTGGTATTGATAAGACAGAAATATACAAAAATTGAACATACTGTAACGTTCATCGCTAAATCACGTTCTTACAATTCTGTCAATCGAGAAAGGCATGCAAGGCTGCCATTGGACAATTTCGGTAATTTATTGTCATTCAAATCTCTAGAGAAAAATAATTCGGAGTTATAATTTTATAAATGAAAATGATTAGCTATATGGTAAATTTTGAATAAAAATTTTAAGCCTGAATTTATGTGGTATTGTAAAAAGTTGACTAGCGACGAATTTATAGTAGCTTTTTTGTTGGATGTGGTCTCTAAAAATAAGCTCATTTTGCACGTAAATGTTACTCTGTATTTGTTACTATGTACTCGTGCTATATACGTGCCACAATTTCACTTCTGCAACAAGGTAACGTACAGTAAAAGTCTAAAAGTAGCTACTGACTTAAACGCCCGTTTACTTAATTTAACATACACAGAAGAAGACTCTAAAAATGAAACTTTCATTAGCAAAGATACATCTACAACTTGTTACCACACTACTCAACTCAAATGTTCCCATTTATGTAGGAACAGTCTAATTTGTAAACAACAACAGTATTATTATTATACCTTACCAGGAGAAACATCTCGAACTGAGATGTTCCTTACATAGCTTTTTTATAACAATCAATATCAAATATGTAATGAACTATTACAAACAACATCCACGTTAAGGCATTACTTGTCTTACCTAGCGCTACAAAAATGGATATTCTCCGTACTAGCTACTACTGTACTTATTAAACTATCCTAATGACAAGGCAACACGGTAACAATACGGTGAAAAAGATTCTAAGGAAGTATCGAAAGTAATCGAAAGTTTAAAACGTTGCGTATAAAGAAATTAATATTGTTTGTATAGAACGCGATTTCGACAGTATTTTAAATCCAACCGAAGGTGTTCTGGAAGTAATCTATCAGAATTCACTAGAATTTCTTACTAATTTATTTTGGATTTCAAATGGAATGTCGCATTCTAAATTAATTATTCATAGCTATCATCGATAGCATGAAATCTAAGAAATTCTTTAAGCAATTCTCTCATAAGTTCTTGAATCTAATTTAACTTACAATTTTTCCAAATAAGGCATTGAGCAGAATGTTTCAATTTCGATAAATTCAATGTCGTTATTGTGTATACTTCTAATGAAATAGAATAGATGTATCAAGTTTATTTTGCCTAAAAACAGGGACTAAAGTTGAATTATACTAATTTTACGGGAAGGCTAATTAAATATTTAAATGATATAGAATTCGCTATTAATAAATTTTGAACCAAACTTGAGCTGAATTATGGTAGTCAATAATGATATCATTCATAAATTAGATTTAGATGTAAAGGAGGTAATAATTATTTAGAAAACTACAAATAGCCGAAATATGGGGTTTTAATACAGCAGTCTTTTTCAGTAATAATCACTTGATATCAAAGATACAGCTCTAAGAATGCACTACCAATGAAATATGAATAAGAAAATATTCTTAAACTAATTCTATCAAGTAAATATTGTGCAAAGAAATCAGTTTCATCATGTATTAAATATATTGATAATTATCGAACTAACTATTATAGAATGCAATATCTTACATATTTCTCAAATTGGAAGTACAGGCAAAGGTATACCGTTCAAGTTTTTTAATTTTGTTTTGGAAAAGCTGACTAAAATTATATAAAAGTAACAAATAAGTAAGCAGCCATATTATCAGTATTCTATAAGTATATACCAAGTTAAGTAAAAATAAAGTAGCTTTAATGAAGAATAATACTTACAGCTCCCATACTTTAGGCATTCCACAAAATGAATACGGTTCTACATAGGTGATTGAATTCTGTTCTAATTTTCTAAAGCATCAAAAAAAATTCAGTTTGCTAAAAATGGCGTATATGCTGTTACATTGTTTAAAGTAATTCGCCGAATCATTAAAGGATTACAAAGCAAACAAATAAATGTAAATATGTGCTATGTAACTATTTTTTTTTCGTTTTAGAAGTGAGTAAATTATGATCGAAGAGATAACATGTTTAACAGTTTCAATGAATAGTTGTAAACATCGTAGAGCAGCAATATCAATGGCAAACTTTTAAAGCTCAAAAAAATGTGCTAACAATGGATTTGTTAAATGAATATAGGCTATAATTAATTAGAGCACTTTTATTGGCCTACTATAGTGGATAAATATAGATTATTTCTTGTCTTAGCTTGATATCTAATTTTGATTTCTTACGTTGAATGAGCGCTTATGTAATACACTAAGTATTCTTACTGATTTTTTGCGAATATAGTCACAATATTCTAAAATTGCGTCTGATAAATAGCTACTATTGCAATTGATTTTATTTAAAAATTCATATGCTTACAAATGTTCTACTGATGGTAAGCCAACGAATGCAGAACGGCGTACGATTTTCAGATGATTTCCTGCGATATCACTAATTAGAAATGAAGGTTTAAAAATAGCTTATATACAATAATTTATCGAGAACTCGTTATGATTTACGTCAGAATTAAATAAAGTTTTTGACTTTTAAATGGTAGTTGCAATTTTAAGTTATCTGAGTATAAATTAATGAATCATACAATCTATAGTATGAACTTTAGGCGATGTAAGATGCATAACGCCTACTGTCAACGATGCAATAAAACAAGGGTAAAATTGAGGCATTTTAAACTTACAGCATGCGAAGTTTAGTCAGATTTCGGAAAGAATTAGGCTCAATGTCTTCGATTACATTATATTCAAGGTATCTAAAAATTTAGAAAAGTATCTCGTTTACTATACATGAGCTCATTTAAAAAAATGGAGTCTGACAATTACTAGTCATAACAAAATCTTTAGTCTGCAAATTATCCAATTAATATAAAATTATCATTTCTTTACAATGTCTGTAATATCTTATTTTATACAAACATGTCTTCCAATGATGACAGACAAGCCAAACTTTCGTTTTTAACAACTTTTAGGCGATTGCCCTTCAAATTTCTGTATAATATATTTATAGATAGGGAAAAGAATTCCGTTATGCGTTAATCAAGTTTTGCTTGTATGCGTCTAGTATAGTACAAGTCTCTAGATAGCATCATAAATAGTTATTGATATTGATGACTAAACAAATATTACAACTAAATTTATTGATTATAATTAAAGTTATTATTTGTTCATGTGGCAATAATTAATACTTTAATTTCATATATCGATACTTACAGACGAACAAGTGATTCTAAACCGCACAAGGAGTTAGTTTCAATTGTAGATATTGCATTATGTTTCAGTCGTCTGAAAAGTTAATAAAAGAAGGATAACAGATCAGCTTTAGAGCATAATACAACCTAATTTGTTGATAGGTTAACGGAGACTTAAGTGTACTAGCGTAATTACTGATTTATTCTATCGGATATATAGTTTTATTTTGAGTCAAATGGATTTAAAATCATTTAATATCTACTTTAACAATGATACGCAATCCAGGTACAGCTTTATAACATATGTAACTAAAACACCACAAATTGATTGCAGTGATTGTTAGTAAAATAGTAATTAACTGTAACATCATTTACAAACTTACAAACTTTCCAGATTTAATAGACAACCAAAATCGCCCTCAGACATGGTTTTAAGGCGATTATTGTCCAGAATTCTAATCAATCGTTATTTTATTAAAACCAGAGTGTAAACAGTAATAAAAGTGATTGTTATAATATAGTTTCTTATTAGCGAATGATAGTGTAAAATAGTATGTTACACTTACAAATGTTGTAAATTTTGCAGCATACAAAAAGCTTTGGGTTGAATGTGTGTCAATGCATTTGATCGAAGTGTCCTACGAGAATGGAACATACTGATATTTACTGGCGGTTAGCATATTAAATTTGATATTCGAGCTTAGGTCAAGATAGTGGCTACAAGATTTTTCCTATTTTTTAAGTATATTTTGGTTATGAGATTAGTATACTTTATTTATTGTGCATTTAAGAGTTTTATAGCAAATTGTGCAATTATGAAGACCATATTAACCGATTAGAAGCAAATCAATCCGATTGGGATTTTGCTGTAATAATCGGCGATAGACGACATATTGTTATCAAATTTTTTATAGAATACGAAAAGATTGAATTTATTTTAAGGCACTGATAAATAATGTTAGAAAAATATTCCCTAACTAGGTTTCAATGAAATCATTAAAGTTGTTTCATTTTTAAATAAAATTTTTTTTATTGTATTTATTATGCAAATTTAAATTATAGCAATAAATTGTTTAATAACTCGTACATCTTCGTCGAATATAATTTTTGAGATTCTGCTATTCTGACATTACAATCATTTATAATCCCGTAGATATAGGAATAGAACGAGCTTTGTAAAATTAACGTAGTGTGTCACAAAACAGCTTTGTAACAAGATAACGTAATGTACGATCAATAAGCATTTATATGCTCTTCCTCAATAGTTCATGAATCATAGTTAGTACGATTAACTTATAAAATCATTTACTGAATTAGAAATTAATTTTAGCTACTACTCCCTTAATGCAGACAACAGTATTTACCTACATAGACATCTGATGACTAATACAGAATAGTCAGATTACCATATGTTCTATCACGGAACATTTTCACGATAATTTACAATCTACCATAAGTAAGTTACAATCACAATAATTCGAACCGTAAGTAGATGATTTACATTCCCTATTATAACTATTAATTCAGTATGTATATATGTGTCTCTGTCATAAAAAGTCAGAGCTATATTAAAATACAGTATATCTAAATTAGAATTTAAGTAAATAAGGATAGGCTAACAGAATTATCCTAACCTAGATGTTTCTACTCTAATAAAGTATATAACACTGTCACAGAGTGACTTACAGTTGCTTTAGACTTTTTAGGCAATTAAAAGATCCACTTTCAATAACTTGCAATCGGTTAGCTTCTAAAGACCTTTTGACAGAGAACATGATGGTATAATAGAAGTTATTGTTACCGTTTTTCATTAGTAACCTCCAAAAATCGAAAACCTTACAAATTGGTTAGATGTGATAATCCACAGAATGCATCAGTTTCAATGACTTCAATGAGGCTGCTAGTAATGTTCCTGAGACGCAATTAAAGTTAAGGGTGGCATTGTAAGACTTTCTTTGCTTAATATCTGTTATGTAAGTAGCAGAAATAAACTATAATTCTTGAATTGTAATCTATCATTTTATAATTTGATAATGAAAGTAATCAATTCATTACATCTATGCCTTTCTGCTTCTATGATTCAAGATTTGCATTCACCTGTTATTTATTGTCAGTACAATATATATTTACTGTAGATGTTGCGACTCGAGTTTTGATTATTTGAAACGGTGATAAAATCTTTACTCCGATATACGTTGCCGTACTGTTATAAAGGCGAGTTACTGGTATTTGCTATTATTTGCACTAAAGTAATATCCTACGACCAATCAATAAATTCAATCCCGCAAACTGGATCAGAGAAAGGTTCTATTAAAATAGATTTACCTTGCAGTTAAAATACCATTACTACTCTATTTGTGAGATAAGTCATTTTACACGTATTGGCTAGCGCTGAAATTGGTGGTAATAATATGTTTCTCATGCTGTAGTACACTTAGTAATATTTGCTATTGTTATGAGCTAGATACTGCTTAGAATGTCGTAAATTTCTTCATATTTCGGCATTTTGCAAATTGACTAGGCATTTCGCGAATTGACTAGGCATTTCGTGAATTGACTAGGCATTTCGCGAATTGACTGGATTTCGTACTTGGACGGTAACAATATTGTAGAGATCATTCATGTTATTTAAGATCCAATACGTCACGGAGCAGTAAGACTTATGATAGTGTTTGTAAATAAGATAGGATTATATTTTCGAAATAAATAACATCGATAGATCTAATATGCTACTAAGTATACTAGATGTTGATTGTGTGAGTCATCTAGCCAAATTAGTATTGATTAATTTGATATTTTTTCTGAAACGTACTCTTTTTGAACCTGCATTCATCAATTTAAATGAGTAAACTTGAAAATAGAAATTTTTGGTGAGGACGTAACTTCATGTAATTACTGCCTTGTGTTTGTTAAGTTAAAAAATAAATACACTGCCATATTTAACGTTAGGTTTCGATTGTGAGTAATGAGCACAAACTTCTAAATAATTTTGGCATAAACTACCATGAAATGCTCATTTAACGTTTTGACTGAAAGCATATTGGCGTAAATAAACGATTCAAGAAATTCCATTCAAAAAACATTTCCGTATCTTATATCAAAGTTTGATGAATAGAATTCTGCCCTTTCAAAAAGAAGAATATGTTCTTACAGTTTAACATTGTTGATTAATTTAAAAAATAATCATTTATGACAGCATCTTAGGCAGATCCTATTACTGCAGCCTAGCTGATTCTTTAGGAACTAATCAGCGACGCAAACTACTCTGTGTGCTTCTAATAAAGTTACAAGATACTAATGAATTCTCTTGGCCTCTTTACGATGCAACGGTATGGGTAAAGAAGGCCATAGTGGTCTAAAACCTCCTTCTATCTTAAAACTTGGCGATAAGGTGTCACGGTACCTTTTTGCCGTGATGAGTTAGAAGTGTTATGGTGTTTGTTATAGATAGAAATTGAAGTATTATGGTGTTTGTTATTGATGGAAATTGATGTTTTATGATGTTTGTTAGTAAGGTGTTTTGATGATCAACTCTCCTTAGTTATTTTGTATGTATTCGAATAGGAGGATAGACTAGATAAATATAAATCTTGATGATGTGCAACCTTTGTGTTAGAGAGTTGTTTATGCTGACACGATTTGTAGTCGTGTTGTAAGATTATTACTGGATAGGAGGTTATGGTTGTGAGATCTCCTACGTGAGATTAATGTAAATAGTAAATATCTTAGAAATTATATAAAGGCTAACTATGATGCCATGTGGACGAGGAGAAAGGCATAGAAAAGAATAAACTGTAGTGATAGTTATCTGTTCAAAAGCCTACGCTCAAC